TAAGGGGTTTCCTCAATAATAGATATCCTAAAGGCAACCATGAGGGGGATAGAGTACACCGGTGAACACATCGTTCACAACACCTACAGGTTATGAACCTGCTAGCGTTCCACAAGACTGTCTAGAAAGAGTATGTGGTCGTTATCCATACTCCGCTGAATAACTAGATCAACAACAACAACATCGAGGCCTCTCATTTGTTTATTACACACCAACTATCTATCCATGTTCTACCCAACATATTAGTAGATAAAAATACATATTTTCATACATAGTTTAAAACCTGTATAGCATTTTTATTCAATACATATTCCACATAACATATGAGGCACACCCACATAACACGTATTTCATAGAAAATAAATCGGATCTATGAGATAGAAGAGAGTGAATATACATTCACACACATAACAACAAAATTATACACATAACACGTATTTCGTATAAAATACTTCATAATTATGCGTTAAAGGAAAGTAACTACACACTCACTTGATCAGAAGATGATCGGACAGCACTACGGCTTGCAGAAGTAGTAATCCTCAGCAGATCTGGAAGATCTCTACAAAAACCGAATTCCTCGCGGGCAGAGCTTTGACTCAGGAATCGCACTTCTCGGGATCTTCGGGGCTTCGAAACTTGCTTCGGGGCTCTGGAATATTACCGGGGCTTCGGGGTACTTCTGGCACGCAAAACGATGCAAAACGGGAGAAAGAAGAAAGAAAAAAAAAAGCAAATGAACCGGCTGCCCTCGCTGAGTCGGTGGATTGACTCGACGAGTTGGAGCTGGAGGATGAAACCCTAATTTCCGGGGTTTTGCACCCTATTTAAAGGGTCATTAGCCTCCCTTAGCCTCCCTTACATCCCCTTGAGATTCCAGAAACCCTAATTCATGTGTGTGTTCCATTCTTGTGTGATTTTCAATCTTGGAAGGTGTTTTGCAAGAAGAATACTTAAAGTATAAGAGGATTAGTGCAAGAGGAGCTAGTGGATTTGACTATTCTGCTTCTTGGCATCAGTTTGAAGGTAACAAGTCGTTACCTTGACCTTCTTTCCTTCTAGATCTCATTATGTTAAATATTAGGGCTTTCTAGCATGTTTATGTTAGCCATTTTGAGTATGGGCTAGGATCCGAAGTTGCAACTTCAGATCTGAACTTACCTTGGTCTCTATGTCTATAAAGTCTCCAACTTTAGCAAGTATGGACCTTCTCTCCCCATTACAAGTTTGGATTTGGCATTCTAAGCCTTTAGAGCCTTGCATGCATGTAATGTTTGCAACTTTACGTGATAAACATGCCTTGGGAAGCTTGATCTGCAATATGGAGTTTTTGAATGGCTTAAAAAGCATTTGAATGGAGTAAGGACTGAAGGGACTCGACGAGTTGCATGGCCAACTCGACTTGTCCAATGAAGGTTGCCGTGCAAGGACTTCTGCATGGACTCAGTGAGTCAGTAGGGTGACTCAGCGAGCTAACTAGGGTTTCCCCGACTCTTAGACATGCTTGAACTCGGCGAGTTTCAGGAAAACTCGACAAGTCAACTGGGGATTTCATGACTTCTCGAGTTCAGGAAGGACTCGACGAGTCAATGAACTGCACTCAACGAGTCATGTCAACGTGAACTGTTGACCTTGACCATTGACTTAGACTTTGACCAAGGGTTGACTAGTTGACTTCTGGGGTATTTTGGTAAATTGGAATTTATGGAAAAGGTTTTATGGTAAAAATAGGTGGTGGAGTTCGTGGCCGTGATTCGAGAGATTGAGTTTATCACTACAGTACGACATTTGTGAGGTAAATTATCCTCATTGTACTAAGGGGTCTAAGGCACCAAGGCCGACCCATTGGATTGATATCCTAGTAGTTGTTATAATGAGTATGTGTCAGATATGCATGTTAGTTGGATATGCTAGTCTGGTAGGTCTGTAGGACTACCTGTGATACTGTTTATTATCTGTATGCGCATTTATCTGTTACATGTCGACATATTATGTGGGATGAGTTGAGGTTGTATTGCTCTGTGCGGTAGCCAACAAACCCTAGGAGCATTCTCGATACTAGCTGAGGGCCGGGTAGGGCATGCCAAACTCGTACTATGGGCTCGGTGGAAATCCAAATGTGAGTTGCGGGCACGAAAGGCAATCCAGACTCACACTGTGGGACCCAGGGTAATCCAGATTGTAAAGTCGTGGACCCGTTACATGTTGTTATCTATATATGTGTTATTTGGATTGTATGTGTATCGGTATATTGGGGATAACTCACTAAACCTTCAAGCTTATATTTATTGATTATTGTTTCAGGTATCCCAGATGATCGCGGTAATGCGAAGGCATGATCGTACCGCTCCTCACTTTTATGATTTTGTTTCCGGGAGACTCTGATGTAGAACTATTTTGAAAAAAAAAATTGTATCAACAGTTGGGTTTTAAATGTTTTTGAAACTTTAAATTTGGCATGATTTTTATGGATGTTACATAAATAATCACAATCCTTATGAATCTTCACCCCTTAATTTATACGACACTCATTTTTGCAACCCTCCGAATCAATCCTCAGAAATCTTTCTAAACCACAAGATATTTTGGTTAAACAACCAAGCATATATAAATTCTAGAAAAATTACAACTTTGATACCACAATGGAGCTCTTTGAATTCTTCACTTCTTTGAATATTTGATATTTGATTTCTTTGAATTCACCACCTTCTTTGATTGATTTTTGGTATCTTCAACTTTTTGGATTTCTTCAGAATTTTGATCTTTAAATTTCATATTTTGACTACTCCAAAATTGTTTCACTTTTTGGTAATTTATCGCTCTTTTTTTACATGTATCTCACTTTTTTCACTTAAATCTTACATGCTTAAGCAAGGAGCTTAACTTCAACATTTATTAGTTAAGGTATTAGTCTGAGTGCAATGACTACATAAGCTCTCCTGGATAGATTTCAGGTTTAAGCTGCAAAACGTATTATGTCATATAAACTACCAGATTACATTTCATATCTCATGACTTTTCACTAGGAAATAGGATGTCACAAATACACTATAAGATGTGTTGGCTCAGGTAAACATTTGGGTTCTCATCAGATCATCCCATACAATATTAGCAAATTTTTTAATTATTACTAGATTTTCCTAAATTAAACTATTATTTCAAGTTTATAAAATTTTAAATTTTCCAATTTAAATCATTTTTCGACCTCCTACCCCACACTTATTTTATACAATGACCTCATTGTATGCATTAAGCTAATTAAACACATAAAAACGGTAAAAAATGAGAAAAGAGAACAGACTCCCCTAGGATAGTGGTGACGAGATCAAATGGGACTGCTAAAAGTTGCTCCATAAATGTGGTGGAAGAATAGAAACTGGAACTGTTGCTTCTAAATTTGCCGGAAAAAAAATCAAGAACACCGACTTCTGAAATGTGGTGCAAAGAATTGCAAACTAATGCAATGTGTAGTATCCACGACGTGGGAAAGTGTCGACCACGCCGTGTCATCGAGTGAGGAAAAATTTATATTGCAAATAATAGCATGGCCACGACGTGGTAATTGGTGGCCACGTCGTGGTATCGAGAATGACAGCCTTCTCTTGCGATGAAAAACTCCCCATGACATAGGAAAGTGTCAACCATATAGTGGCAGCCGGAATGATACTTCTGTTTCGCGTCAAAATAAAACTCCATGATGTGGTAGAAACGCTACTCTTCTAAATAATAAATTCTCACAATATCGGCGCACATCCCACACTTATTAGAAGTCGTGGGTCTTAACTGTAAACTTCAAACTCTCACACGACTTTTTCTCTCGTGATAAAACAATAGTCGGTCCTAGCGGCTGAACTTACTGTCAGCTTTCTAAGGACGAAAATTCTTCAAAGATATAAAACAATCAAAGAGCATCAACATGAAAAACAAAATTACATAAACCAAAAATAAATAAAACGTCCTAATTTAAACTAAATACATACCAAAATAAAAATAAAACTAAGAATTAAAACTAAGTCTAATAAACCAAAAATAAAATAACATAAAAATGATAACTAGGTCACTCATCATCCCCATCGTCATGCTGTTGTGTTCCTAATGTGCCTGCTCCATCATGTCGTTGTTGGTATGTTGGAGGAAAAGGGGTCGGATAATGAAAACCTTGATGGGCAAAGAATGCAGTCATCGCATCCATATACCACTGCTGTCTACGCTCCATTATATCAAAGCGCTCGTACATGCGCTGAAGGCTCTCGTGCATGCGCTGAACAAGGTAACGTATATCTATCTTTGGCTCAGGTCCCTGTTGCGCTCCTTGAAGAGCAGGTCTACGCCTCCCCCGTCTCTCAGGTGCTGACTCAACTACACCCTCCTCAGCAGCCACATCATCTGGTCGTATCCGGATAATACCATCCTCACCACGCTGAAGTACTCGCATCGATTCCATCAACTGTAAACTCATCGGCCTCGTATCATAGAACACCATAGATCTCGTGATCCCCCTCATCAACAACTGATATGATCGAGCTAAACGCGTGATGAAGTGCCCACCACAAATTGGGCTATCCCCGCGAAGCCCCCTAGCCCTCCTCCCCATGTAAGCAGCTAAAGCAATTGGGAGGTTCAGGTGCCTCCCAGGTGTAATAAGGGTCCACAGGAAAAACAAATCTGTAGAAGGCACTCTCTCACTATTTTTATGATGTGTGAGAGACATAGAAATCAAACGATGCAATAATCTGTAAGTGGTGGACCGAATCATCTTCCCCCGAGCAGAGGATGGTATGTAAACTCCCCCAGTAATCTCAGCCCAAAAAGTATTTTCGTTATAATCATCCGGCTGTTTCGTAACACAATTAGCAAGGAATGTCGGGAAGTGGACACTCCTCGTCTCATCCTTAGTATATATTCCCACTCTAACGGCAAGCTCAATTGCGCTGCATTCCCTACTCATACCACCAAGTCGAAAGGAAAAAGCCGTCCTGTCATCGGGTGTCTTACTATGGTCATAGGAAACTGTAGAATAGAACTCCAACAAAAATTCCCGATAAACAGGTTCCTCAATCTTGAACAGTCTTTCCCAACCTCGACATACAAACAATGACACACCACTCGCGTCCAAGTAGGTGTATTGCAAAAAATTCTGGATCCGTTCGTCTAGTCCAGTCTGGGATGCCAATCCCCAGTCGAATGAAGGTGCGATGTCAATCTCTTTCGTGAGCAGTAAACTTAAGGTGTTCAAATATTTGCCACGAGTTTCATTGTTAAGACTTCGTGGGAATTGCAAGAAACGATGGTCGGTTATGTCATTTGGGTGGTTTCTCCTTTGATTTCTTCGAGCCATAATCTGCAAAAAACAAGCATCAAACATAAAAACCAACAAAATAATCACAACATTAACAGATTTTAAAACAAAAATTTGGAGTTGCACAGGAAAATTACGTTGGGCGTACGTCCAGTTGCTCTAATCGATTCCCTGTTTGACTTTTGTCTAGGCCGAGATCAATCAAAAGGTTACGCAGGTTTGAAATCATTTAAGGGTGTAGTTCGAAATTAGTCAAGAAGGGGTCTTAATCAGTCTAGTCTAGTATTATTCAACACAAATTGCATGAACAATCAACACAAATCGTTCTAACAAGGCAATAATTAAGCACCAAACTCATGTGAAATTGCCCCCAAATCGGAATACGTAAGAACCCTAGATTTACTCTGATTGCAAAGCACACACCAAATGTTTCCGCATTCTATGATTTACTCTGATTGAGATGATATTTGATACACTTATTTTTTTAGGATTGTATAGATAATATTTTGGAATACCAATTTTATTTCCAAACTCACAAAGTAGTGTAAGGCGTCTCGGATCTCCCATTTTCTTTGGTATTCCTTCCATAATCACCATTAAATTTTGTTCACTAAGAACTACCTTAGATGTCTTCTCTAATTGTTGGCGAGTGTCAACTAAATCTTGAAGGAATTTTGCATATTCGAGAACTTTAGCTCAGGATTCAATAAATGGGGTATTGATTGGAATACCCTTGACTTGATTCATAAACTTTTTATATTCTTGTTCCAATGAATGCACTCTAGCTCGAGAAGGAAAAGGTAACGAAGGTTGATAAGCTTTAACAAAAGAAGAATTTTTCTGCCAGACTGATCCCACCCCGTGAGGATTAGTTCCTCGTGTCGTGAGAACGGTGTTTCAGCACCATTTTTTCTTCGATTTTCTTTTGCCTTGGCATTGACTCGGGCTGCTTTGTGTTTTCTTCTAATGCTTCCAAGAACTCAAAAATTGTGTCTTCCATAGTGGATATGGCACTAGGCCGGGACCAGTGTCCTCACGAATTCCCTCTCTCCCTCAAAATTGTGTTTTCTTCTAATGCTTCCAAGAACTCAAAAATTATGTGTTTCGCAAGGCTTTAGATGACAACACCCAGATGTAATGAGCATTTTTTTCAAGAAATGTATACATTCATGTAAAATAGGTCGTGTGATTTCTTTCTTTACCTAATCCATTGGTTAATGAGTTGTATACAGAGATACCCAAATGAAATTGAATAGAATTTTCAAGAAATCTAGATACCAGTCATTACTTACAATTTGGGTTTTTGTTTCTTTAAACCCGATTGTGTGGGGTTTTGTTTTCATCCGTATCGTTTGGGGATAAATACATCCAAAGCCTTTGTCTCTTTGTTTCTTGTTTTATCCATACCTCTGTTCTTTGAAATGCAAACACACACACTCTCTCATATTCACTTTCTAGGTCTTTTTTTAGTGTTCCAGATTCGGTTTCGATTATTTTGTTTGTTTAGTTGCAGAAATTGTTTCTCATTTACAAGTGTGTTTCTTTTGTGTATGTGTTTGTGTGTTTTTAAGAACCATAAAAAAATTTGGAATGTGTATGTATGTGTTCTTGGAGTGTGTATGTATGTGTTCTTGGTGCTATGGAGTCTTTAGGTTAGAGAGAGAGAGAGGTGGTTGGTCCCTCCTATTTTTTAATTATTAAAATAATTAGATAAATATTAAATTAAAAAAATGAAAGAAAAATGGAAAATAAATACCCCAAGGGTATTACAGTCATTTCAATATTCGGAAGGACCAAAAATGCAATGAAACTAGCTCAAAAGGACCACGAAACACAAAAATATCAAGGTTTGGACTAAACCTCGGAAAAAATGCATACATACCACAGGGACCATTTTTGCAATTTTGTCTTACGAAAAAATAATCTAAAAACAGGTAATAATTAACTATGAACCATAAAGAAAGCTTAAAGTTAAATGATAAACATTGGCTATGCACAATAGACAAAATAAGGAGCTTACCGAGTTGGTTTTCTCAACCTCTGAAATGAGTGAAGTCCTTAATTCCAATGAGTCACCATCAGCAATTCCATAATCTTCTTCAGGAGAACCAACTGCTGAACAATTAAGGAAATTACAGTCAAACTACACATTATAATTCGATCCATAAATAGGGCAGCTTGAATTATAATTCTGATGAAAAGGATTCAGAAAATGTTATTTGCACAAAGAAAGGATTTTTGCAACCTGTTATTACTGCATGCATACATGGCGTAGAGATGAGAAAGGTAGTGCAAAATAACTTTTCAGTCACATTTATTAAAATTCAAAGTATTACAAAATACAAACAAAAATAAATTCACGGGAGCAAATAGAACAAAGGGTTAAACACTTAAATGCAAGAACTAGCAGTGTACTTTCATTGATTTGTTTGTTATAACTTATAACATCCCAATTTCATTTATTCCTATTATTTTATAGTATCCACCATTTATAGCAATGTCATCCTAAATTAGTAGATTTTTCGATGTATAATGGCTTAATAAGAAAAAATAATAATAACTTGAAAGTACAACGCAAATTATGCAATTATTGGGTAAAATTTTCAAAGTACAATGCATTGATAAGAAAAAATAAATTGAAGGTACAATGTTGTAATAGAAAGAAATATAGTTAAGATGCTGTAGAATACAAATAAGTTAAAGTATGTTGATATTCCTTGCATGTAGCCCTAGAACATTAGATGGGTATCTATGTTTTAGATCTTCAATGTTTGGATCATATAAACCACAAAAAAAGGGACATTGAGATAGAAGTTGCAATAATCAATTTTGTGTTTTTGACAAAAGCTTATGCAGATTCTTATTTTCTAATTGCATAAGGTAAAAAAATAATCCTATTCCTTTGTTAGTGCTTGACAAAAACTGATTATGAATTGTGATGCTGGTTTTCTTATTCCTTGGGGTCAGATTTGGAGGAAATACTTCTATAAGAAAACTGATTGATTGACATAAATGTATTTACTAACTTTAACCGACTTCAATCAACTTGGAAGAACTCAGTCAGAAAAAAAAAAAAAAAAAAAAAACGACCCCATAAATGTAAATCGGAAGTCGTAACAAACTCAAATTGCGAATGTGAGTGTGTGAAATGAATCTAATTCTTCTTGATTTTAGAATAGACGTATCACAAAATAAAAATAGACAAAGATTCAACATCAGCTAAACAACCCTAACGGTGTTTCTAGTCACTGAACAGCTTGTCAGCGCCCATTGCTACTGTATCAGGGGTAGGGGTTTGAATCGTTTGAAGGAATTAATGAACAATACCTTCTCGATAGAAAGATACTTTACGGATACTCAAAAAATGTACAAATTCAAATTATTCTGCAAGAAGCGCAGAACTCACCTTCAGGCACAGTTTCAGGCACAGTTTCCATGGCGGAAAGACCATCGGCAGCGTCGGCCAATACATGCAAGTCCATTTCAGTGAGATTTTACGGTGGCCGGAAGGATATACGACGAGGAATGACTTCTCTTGTCAAAACTCACAACCCCTTTTCAGGCATTAATGGACCAATGGTTATCCAAAATATAATAATTATACGAATTTCTAAAATATTGTGATTATTGTAATTATTATAAAAAATATAATGATTTTTTTAAAATTTAAAATAACAAATGTATCTAAAATTAACTTATTTGAGCTTATTGGCTAAACATATCATTCCCCAATTCATAGAGTTTATTACGCACTATTTTTTATACATAACTTTGATATTTATTTTGAAGTCTATATTTTTATGCTAAAAAAGATAATGAAAAAATGATGAATTTTCTAACTATATATTGGTAGGGTAAAAGATGGTTGTCTTTAACAATATATCAATATGCATTAGTTTATACATCAATACATGTATAGACAGCAATGAAGCTTAGAAATTACCTTCAACTTTTTTGGGTTGGACACAATTATAATTTTTGTCTCATTAGTTTTAATAAGTTAGTAATCATTGTTTGTAAATGTACAAATAAAAAAATTCCTAGAAGATTGATGAGCTTGGATTCTATTTTAAAATAATTTTTTTCTAATTAGATATAGTACAAACGGTTGCAATTTGTGTCTACATTTAAATTTAATCATTTATAACTATTTACACATAGGGCTGGGGCACAGATGCCAAAGAAAAATGACCCATGTCTATCGTCGTAGAAGTTGTTTCCAAGAAAGATTATTGTTCTTGGGTATCCAATCAATTAATCCCCCAAACTGAGGAAGCTTCACGAAGAATTCAATTTCATCGGGTCAATGTCGGGAGACAGAAGGGAAGTCGTTACACCATTCATGCAGGCCGCTACTTATGCAACAAGAAATTACACTACCTTAGGACAATTAGAGTTACTGCCGCCGTTAACCGATGCTTCCATTCAAAGCTTATAACACTTCTCCTTCCGACTTTCCAACACCAGATTTTACTGTCCATATATTAGTTGAAATACGAAGGTGTTTATATTACCATTTATATTTTACTCAATCGTGGCATCCAATCATACTAAACATATATACCAAAAAAGCTTATAGCATAGTGGTATCAAAAAGTTAACGTAAAGGTGTCTCTCACCTAAAGATTGAGGGTTTCTCGCTAGAGACGAAACACAAAAGGTGTAGATTTATGAGTAGCATAGTGAGTGTTATATATATATATATATATATATATATATATATATATATATATATATATATATATATATATAATTTTAAACAATACCTAACATTTTGACTTTTTTTTTTCGGATTAAACCTTAAGTTTTTTTTTTGCCCGAAAAAAACCTTACTTAATAACCACTTTTTCAATTTTCGAAATTATCAGGTTTGTAGATAAATAGCCGGTTAGAACTGGTTGACCTATCCTCATTTAATGACCTGGACCATAACCCGTTATCCCTATTTGATAAAAACATGAACCCCTCTTTTAGAAACCCTAGTTTCACATATTATGTTTTTCTCTTCTTATTATACCTTTCCATGGCTTTTTCTTCCATGTCAACCATCACAAGGAGAAATCGTAGCTATGATGCAACCATGTTGTGCGATTGTGAGGTTGGGGAACCTCTATTTACATTATGGACTCCAAAAAATCATGGGAGAAAATTTTACGGATGTCCAAATTTCAAGGTTAGTCATTGAATGCGAAAATAATGAAATGTTTCATCAAGGTTAGTGGTAGAATCTATTTAAAGATTCGTATTTTTGTTATTTTACAGGGTAAATGAAAAGGCTCTAAATTTTTTGAATGGGTTGATGAAGAACTTACAATACAAAGCTACAAGGATCTATTTCTTGAAATGTACTATGAGATAAAGGTTTTGGAGGAAGAAAATCATGAGAAGAAGTTTAAAATGAATGAACTTAAATTAAAGTTGAAACAAAAAAAAATGAGAAGGGTAGTGTGAAGAACAAAAGAATAAGTTTTAAGACCAAAATAAGAAGCTTCAAGAGCAAAAGTTGAGCGGTGGTTTGTATCTTAAGGTTTTATTAGTGTTGTTAGTTATTTTGTCAAGGCCATTCTAGGATTACAATTTTTGTCAAAAAAAAAAAGGTTTGTTGCCTTTGCCTAACTTGCAGTTTCAATTGATGTATTTGGTAATGTACTTTGTAGATGCTATTTCCTTTTGGTGATGTACTTTCAAAATCTTAATGTTTTTGGTAATGTACTTTGAAGATGTTGTTTTAGTAATGTACTTTAGAGGATGTTAATTCTTTTTGGTAATGTACTTTCAAATCTTAATGTTATTGGTAATGTACTTTAAAGATGTTAATTCTTTTTGGTAATGTACTTTGAGAGTGTTAATTCTTTTTGGTAATGTACTTTCAAATTTTTAATGTTTTTGATAATGTACTTTGTGTGGTGATTACTACTTTTGTCTTCGTGAGTTATTTCTTTCTTACCGTTGTGAACTATGCAACATCGAATTGGGCAATCCACATAGAATGTGAGTGACTATTTACCTACAAACCTGATAAATACAAAAAAAATCAGAAAAGTGGTCATTAAGTAAGGTTTTTTCAGCCAAAAACAAAACTTAAGGTTTAATCCGAATGACGGGTGGAAACATTTTCTTAATTCTTTATCCATTTGTCAACTACAATAATGTCTATAACAACTCAGATCATCTTTCAACACACCTTCAAATCAAAATTACATTAAACTAAATTAACAAAAAAAATAAAAGCGTCTAAAAAGTCTTGAAAACATTACTTACCATTGGTCAATCCTACACAGCAGTCATTCTAAATCAGTCTTCACCTCCACCAAACCAAAAACCAACACAGAAAAACCCTCTACCACCCCCACCAAAAACCAGAAGAATATATAAAGATAAATTAACCTATCTATAACACACCTGTGATCAAAAAAAAAAAAAAAAAAAAAAAAACCCGCTAATTTTAACTATACTAAAACATACATCAAATAAATTACACTCAAAGTCAATAAATTTACGGTTTTATGATTTCTGTAGAACGAGACAGCCACCAGTTGAGATTTTCTTTCATTGAAATAACCCTGCACAAAAATTATTCAATTCACTTACCCATAAGAGCAACATACTTACATAATATAACAAATAATATACATTGCCTATATCAGTATAGAAATGTAAGCACAAATACAAAGCACATTGTCATTATGGGTAAAAAGTAACAATTTGGTAGGTAAACTAACCGTTTCATTCTTTCCCAAGAACACATCTTTCATAAAGAGCCACAAGCTCTTTCTTATTAGGATTCTTCAACTGAAGCAACTCCGCACCAAAATTATGCTTCGTGAGCTCTTGCTTCAACTTTACAACAGTAAATTTCGAGTAATCTTCCGTTTCTTGACTATAATTACCATCATACCCCTTAAAAACCGAACCACCATCTTCACTCAAACCAAATTTCAACGGACTATTCGTACTCCTCGACCTCTTATTCCCCCTACCAATCTCCTGAACCGAATCCGTCCCCATTTCATGTTCTTCTTCAACCCGAAACCTTTTTTGTGAAGCGGTTCTAAGTTTGTTATCCAAAGCAGATTCATTAAGCCGAATCGTTGTCATTTGTTGTTGTAACAAATCGAGCTTCCCTTGTGTGGCTTGTAGTTGAACCGAAAGCGCTTCTGCCCGGTTTGTAGCTTCTGCCCGAGCTGCCCGTTCGGTTTCCAATAAACTTTCAAGGACTTGAACCGTATTCGCGCGTTGTTCGTTGTTTGTATTCAATAAATTTTCTATCTCTTTTTCCCTTTCTTCGACTCTTGCTTCTAGAATCGAGACTTTGGATATCGCGTCCATTTCAGCGGATTGGAATTGGTTTAGTTTGTGTGATAAGTCGGTTTTTTGGCGGGAAAGGGTTTCGATGTGTTGTTGGAGTTTTGTGAGTTGGGTCAGCCGGTCGGTGGCTAAGCGTTGGATTTCGTTTTTGTCTTTTTGGGCAGCCATGGCTTCTGCCCGGGCGATGTCGGCTAACTCGGTTGCTCTTTTTGTTTCTTTTTCTGCGGTTCTGCATCTTTCTTGGACTTCTTCGAATCGGTCGAATTCGGATCTGTATTTTTGTTGTAAATGGATTCGTTCTTGTTCTAGAATTCTCGACTCTCTTTCGTATGATTGAGCTGTTGCGTTTGCGGATTCTAACTGTTTGCTTAATTCCTTGATGTCGGATTTTAAAGCGGATATTTCTGAATCGTAGCTTTTTATTTTTGACTCTGCAGCCTGAGAATTAGAGTACAAGATATTAAATATAATGCATGAAAAATGATTTCCATTATGGTTAGCTATTTAGAAGAATCTCACCTTCAACTCCAACCTCAAAGTAGTTACACGCTGCTCCGCCTGATCAATCTTTGCTGCCTTACTTTTTATTTCCGCTTCCTACAATTTCATTTGCAGTTGAATAAAAATCAGGTTTCAATTCTTTATCCCCTATAAAATATAAAACAAGTGTTTTGTCTGTGCAAAAGACATAAATGCCCTCCTCATGATGATAAACCATTAGAGAGATAGAGAGGGATGTGTCACCTTGTCAGCTAACGTGCATGCAAATTCTGCCCGTAGAGCATCCTCGCGGTTCTGTGTTTGTTTACTCGCGCGATCTTGAACCGCCGCCGCCTTCTCGAGCGCGCTCTTTGCCTCCCTTACCGCCACGTCATACTTCCGTTTCCACTCTGCCGCCTCCTCTTGAGCCGCCACGGTTTGTTCCCGGGCAGCCGCCAGTCTTGTTTCAGCCGCGCTACTCCTCGCCTTCAAATTCGCTACTTCAGATGAAGCTTGTTCTTCCCCGGCTTTCTGCTTAGATAATGCTATGTCATATTTTCTTTTCCATTCTATGGATTCTCTTTTGGCTGATTCCAGTGTTCTTGATAAGTTGGAGTATTTTTCTTCTAATGAGCTCGAGTTGTTTTTGAGATCGGATATTCGAGTCATGTACTCTTCTGCAAGCTTGTTTTTGTCTTTAATGGCATCTTCATAGCGTTTTATGTAATCGGATTTGTATTTCTCACTTGCTTCTAGTTGTTTTGTGAGTAATCCCATTTTGTCTTCAATTGAGCGACATTTTAAGAGGAGGGAGCTTTTTTCTGAGGTGATGTGGTCTATCTGTTTCTTCACGAAGTCGAGAACTGGACCTTCCAAGCTTAAAAGTCAAAGAAAAAGAAAAATGTTAAAATCTAGAGAAAAACTAGCAAAGAAAGTGAGCTTAAAGTTATACTTTCATCTTTTTTTTTTTTTCTATTACAGCATTGTACCTCCAATTTTTTTCTTAGAGTAACTTACAAAGATGGTTCCTATGCTTTCTAATTTTCACCATGTTTAGTCCAAAACTGAATCCTTTTTTTTAAAATTTGGTCCTTATTTTAAGGTTTCATATCGATTTTGATCCCTAGAACAATGTAATACAAGACAAAAAGAAAGTCTCAGAGCCCAAAATGAATGAAACCTTCAAATAAGGACCAAAATTGAAAAGGGTTTAGCATAATCAGAACGCTTAAGGACCAATTTTGAAATTTACTCTTTTTCTTAATAAGGCATTGTACTTTAAAAAACTACTAAATTGTAGTGTTGTACTTTCAATTTTTTCTTATTAAGACATTATACATTGACAAATCTACCAAATTACAACAGTGGAAATTGTTTTATATTTGGGTGAAATTGCTATAACTGGGTAGATTTTACAAAGTAAATGTTGTAATAGGAAGAAACGAAAGTAGAATGTTATAAAACAAAATCAATGAAAGTAAATTGCTATTTCTTGCATTTGACTGAAAATATAAAATCAAAAACCTTTGTCGTAAAAAAGAAGCTAGTTTCTGCCACTTCTCTGGACCATAAGCAGTTGCTTCATAGCTGCTTAAAAGCTGATCAAGAACCTATATATGACAAAAACAAAATAATTGTGTACTTTTAGGATCAATACATTACTAAGATCTAAAAAAAACTTACAACAATATGAACCCAAAAAAGTTAAAGAAGAGATGGTTTTGGCAATTAGCATACTACAAAGTTCAAAACCGTGGAGTCATATGAAAATGATGGAATTACAAATGTAAAATGTCATTTAATTTTAAAGTACCCATTAGTTATCTTTCGGTGGTTAATGAAAATTTAATAGATGTTAGCTGCAACTTAATGCAGAAACAATGACCTAATAGAGAAATCTAGAGAAAAGAAGCTTTCTCCATTAGGTCCTAACTTTTTACAGATTTGCCCTCATTATTTTTTCCTTCCATTTTCTCAAGCATGCCAATTTTTTTCTATAAAACTTCTAGACATCATTTATCATGGAAAAAAAGTCAGAGTTTCCCTCCCAACAACCCAACTGTAGTTTCTGAGTCAGTAACATAAATTTACCTTCAGAATATTATCAAACTTTGCAGCTGGAGCTTGACAAGCTGCTCGTAGTTCTTTCTCCATTTTTTGTATGGCATTTGAGCATTGCATGTAAGCCTTCATAAAGGCCTCCCTTTTATAATCCTACATCAATAGTTTATAACATGTATTAAGCAAATAGGTAAAGAAACGACTCTTTCCAAAAGGAAATTAAGCATTGCATTTTTTGGGACTATCAAAATATAAAGTGTTGCTTTTGTGTTATGGGGGGGGGGGGGGGGGGGGGGGGGGGGTCTTGTTATAAAGACAACCATGAATAATCCACTTGTGATGATGAACCCACTCCCACTTCTAGACATGAGATCTAATAGAGGTTTGGGTAAAATGGAAGAAATAGCAACGTAATTTAATTGATTTGCTTCTATAATTATATCTTCCTACTTTAATTTTTTCTTATTAAATACTGTGGATTGAAAAGCCTACCCAATCACAGCAATTTCATCCAAATACAAATCAATTTTCATTGCTATAATCAAATAGGCTTTTTAAAGTATGATGTCCTAAGAAAGAAAAGATTGAAAGTAGAAGGTTATAATTGGGTAGATTTTTCAACAAACAATGCCTTTATAAGAAAAAAAAAACTGAAAGTACAATGTTGTAATAGAAAGAAATAAAAGTAGGATACTATAATGGACAAATAAATGAAAGTATGTTTCTTGTATTTATCCCTAATGGTTTTTCCAGAAAAGCTACCTCAAATTCCTTTGTGAAAAAAACACGAAGACGCTTTTCACATCTTTGCCTAGCGGAGCCCGCCCCTACTGCAGTAGAATTAAAAGCAGACACAGCCTTCTGAACAGCCTCTTCATGTGTTTCTCGTAATGCAGCCTAAAAGCATTCAAAAAAGTGAATAATTATAACAGGTGACCAAAGGGTAAAAAAGGAAAAAACAAAAACTAATGAAGATTTAAAAAAAAAAACATACTTCCTCAGGGGGTCGTGTACGATCGAAAGAAGACTTGTAAACTTCAGTAGCATACTCCAATGCCTTTTGACATTCTGTTTCTTCAACACTCTGAAATAAATGAATAGTTGACAAGTTGAAATTATCCAATATAGATATGGATGTTTCTACTTGACTAGATGCAAAAAAGAACAACTTAATAGAGAAAGCCAAGAAAAAGGAAACTTTCCCGTTATTTTGATCAAGCTATCATTTCAATGTCCAATAATATCTTATGTTGTGTCTTTTTCCATAAAATTGGATTAACTATACAACATCAACCTGATACATGATACTCGTACAACATAAAGCAAAAAACACAGCCTTAAAGAACTAACCTGCCATGAGGAAGTGATTGTAGGAACTGCACCATTATTGAGAGCATCCAGAAAAGACTGAGTGATGCCAGCAAAAATAGGTCCATTCATAACCGTGGACCCCAGCTGCTTGGGCCTAGTTCTCTCAAATACAAACCTTGTTAACTCATCCAGTCCTGCTTTGAACTCTGGCCTCAATTTCTCCATCTACACGTGTGAGTATGATTTGGGATAACTAATGTTAGAGACAATCTTCCTAAGGTACATGATATATAATAAGTATAATGAATACTGAACTTTTCATGCTTATGAAAAAGATTACTTACTGATATTTGGTCAAGCCGTTGGAGCTCATTCTCATTGCTCAAAGGTCTCACAAGAGTGAAACAATCCCTATCTGGAAAGAGAGCTCGGATGGATTCTCGAATCTATAAATTATAGATCATCAATTGTTCAGAAAATTAAGAAAGAATCAAAGAATATGTGAAAAGTTGAACCATATTTATGATCTTAAAGTTTAAACCACCCACCACATGAACCAAGTGGTGTGGTAGTAGTTTGCTTATCAGTGGTTTTTGGTGCTTAAATTTAGAGTATACTTCAATAACATAAGTTCAAAGATATTAAATTTCATTTTGAGCAGTGAAGATTAAGCAGAAGGAAAGACCTCATTTTTAGCTGAAACATCTCTTCCACCACCTTCAACTGGCCTCAAAGCAAGCTCTAGGTAGTCACGAGGAGTTATTTTCCTATTATCCTCAACCAAATCCAAATAGAAATCCTGCAATTTGGAACATGGTGATAAGAAAAAAGTACATAGTAAAAGAACACGGGATCTCTCATTTGTACAAAAGACGTAAATGCCCTCCTAATGATCGAAAATAACCCTAGAAAGCTTGTCCAGATGTCGTGTGTAACAAACGCAGTCGAAAAAAACAAAGTGGCATGAATCAATATGAATGTACCCTTAGAAGCCACACAAAGATTGGGGAGAATTGTCCGAGTTCAGAAGCTGTGGTTTTACCCCCCGAGGCTCTGACACGAATATGCTTTGTCATTTCAGTTACAAGAGAGAGACGATCAAGTGCAGCCTCATCTATACCTCCCATCTGACAAAAGAAAGACATGAACAATGAGATGAAATAACAACCATGCATAGAATGAATCAATGTTATTAACAAAAAAACCAACCTGGTTATATATGAACATGCTTGATAAGAGTACAGCAAGAGAGAAGATCTGTGTGCTGTATGTTCCCTGTAAAATGAAATGGATAGAAAAGGAAATAAAGAATATCATCATACAATTTAACATAAAGGCTCTAAAATATTTTACAAAAAGTCAAGCCAACCGTTTGATCATAGGCATCAATTCCTTCGCTATCAATCAATAGAAGATTGTACTCAGTTCCATCAAGGGCAGTTCTTTTTAAAGGAGTACTCCACAGCCAAAGCCCTTTTGTGCAAGGACGATGAGTTGATGCCACCTTAAATCCACTACTCCTTCCAAGAAGCTACAAATATTAAAATGCAGTGTATTATGTATGAATAAACTTCATAAACTTTGCCACTTATCATGAAGGTGGAAACTAACATGTTATAAAAGGGACATGGCACTAATAGATGTAACATGTACCGAAAAATCCAGATCAATAAAGCAACATGTGAAAATGTCAACCTTTTTTCATAAATAGAGAAATACAATGCTAATATACTACAAATTATGTCATCGTGTGACCTGCAGCTATAGATCATTGATGCACCAGAGCAGGTTTAATCTATCAATATAACATGTTTCTAACTATTATGTAACAAAAGATGCTAATAGCTTCTGTAAAATCGGACATGGTCTCTCAAAAAGAAGTTTACTATCCCCGTTTTGAACTGATGAATTTCACTTATATTGGGAACCTCACAAGTATCAGAAAAGAAGGTTTCAATTTTTGATTTGATTTTTTTGAATAATTTGACTACTCCTGTAGTTGAACTTCTATCAACATTCATCAAAACTTAGCAATATCAATTCCATTCATGAAGAAAACGATGTTAGACGATTAACTAAATGGCATATGCTAATTGCCTTCATATTGGTAAACAATCCCTGATGAATCAAACATTCTATAGATTTTACCCTTAATTTTTATTTATTCTGTCTTGATTGTGTGTATAATTTCTTCACTTCTTGACCTAAAACTTATTATCAATAGGATAGAGTGTGTTACATATTTACATTACAGCCAACAGCTTTTGCAGTTCTTTATTACAACTTACATCGAACATCTAGAGCTATACTGCATACTAAATCTGAAGTGTTATAAGTATAGAGAGCATTCTTAATAAACTATACCTTCTACTATTAACTTAGCCCTATGTAACCAGCTCTTCATACTTCATAGCCACACCATCCAAAACCCTAACTCTAGAATAAGCAAAAAATCTTCAAACACCACAAACCCAGTAGCTAACTAGCTATGCATCATTAATTTTGATTAAAACAATCAAACTTGCTCCAAAGCAAGGAAAAAGGCATGGATAGTGAACTGTTATGAATAAAATAGATGGCACTCCAAATTTGTCGTACTGGGTCAATTCAACTAATCTCCATAACCTATAATCAACCTCATAGCAATTAACGTAACAAATTTCCCAATAATGATTCTATAGTCCTCCTTAAACCCTAGCTTCATAATAATTAAGTATGCACAAATCATGGTTCAATTACTCATTACTTGGTAACAACTAAAACTGGTGCCAATTAGCTACTTATTACTACATTTATACTGAATTAACCAGTTTCGTAAGTAATGGTTACATTAAAACCCTAATTTCAAAATTACGACCATAAAGAAAGGAATCAGGCATGAAGTATTTCTACAAAACCCAAAACCCAAGGTCTCCCCTTGAAAGAGATCGAAAAGTACCTGATTTAAGATATAACTCTTGCCTTGGCGAGCACGACCACAGACTGAAACCACGCCGATGGGTTCTTTAACAAGCTGAAGAAGAGAAACAGCTTCGGGATCCATCTGAAACTTTCCTCTCTCATCGCAATAGACGAGACGAATGGGCCTGGCAGGGCCAGAAGCGACGGAAGTGGATGGTGAAAAAAGAGGAGTTGAAGAAGACGGCGTCGACGGTGATTGTTGAGACGAGTCATTGGAAGTGCTCCTGCTGAAAAATCTCATCGTGCTTAGATCGTATGTTACAAGGACAAACCGATTGCGTTTATGAACTTGGAAGTTGGAATAGTGACTGTTTGTGGGAACGTTTTGCCGATCGGTCAGAAGGAAAAAAGAAAATTCTAGGACGGACAGTTGCTTTAAATCCTTTTTTTCAAATATATTTTAAAAAATTAATTCATGAAAATCCAAAAGATAATGATTTGAAAGGGTAATAAAATTTTAATTTTATTTAAATTTATTTACTAAATATTTTCTTATTATTTATTTGTTACTGAATTATTAAAATTATTCACATTTTACCTTGTTGGAATTCTAAGTCACATAGGACTTGGAGTCCAAGAATATTGGATTTAAGCAAGTCGGTTTTAGTCTTCTAATCTTATTCTACAAGTTGGTAGATTAGGAATGTTATATATATATATATATATATATATATATATATATATATATATATATATATATAAAAGGAAAAGTGAATATACCCTTAAGGTATATAAGCTTAGGTACCCAAACTCACCATACTACGTCGTTTTGTATTATATAATACATTATAATTGTGCAATGTTCTTATAATTTAACTTCTAAATTGATTTACTTCTATTATTTTTATTTATTACACATTTATCTTCCTCTTACTTAATTTTCATTTTCAATTATAATAAATATAACTTAATAAGTGTTCGACAAAAAGATGTGACATAAGAGAAAATAATAGTGAAATTTCGAAAATCTTGAAATTAAATCAAGTTAGGGGTTGAAGTTTAAGAACATTATAATGAATATATTACTTAAAACGACGTATTATGGTGTGTTTGGGTACCTAAACTTATATACCCTTATGGGTATATTCACTTTTCCCATATATATATATATATATATATATATATATAAGATACCGAGTCATGGTTTGTACAGAAAAACAATATTGGTTTTGAGTTATTTTCCAATTAATCAAAGAGTTAGTTTGATTAATTGTGTTTTCTAATACTTGAATTGGTATCAGAGCTTAAGTTAAGAAGTCGTGAGACCGAGTTACTTACCTATTGACGAGCTAGGTCAATATGTCAGACGTAGAAGACGGTACACGGCCTCCTCCGGTGAGAGTGAAAGAGGTTGGGACAACCACAGTGGCATGTCCAATGCTTACTTCCACTAACTATACCGTCTGGGCACTAAGGATGAAAGTAGTGATCAGAATTCATAAAGCATGGAGTGTAATTGACCCTGGAACAGAAGAGAATGAAGAAAAAAATTACCTGGCAATCGGATTGTTGTACCAAGCAATACCGGAATCCTTGATTATGTAGTTGGGAGATATCGAATCAGCTAAAATCCTTTGGAACTCGATCAAATCGAGGCATGTTGCACCGATCGGGTGAAAGAAGCTCAACTTTAAACCCTAAATACCGAGTTCGACAGATTGATGGTGTCAGAGAAAGAATCAATCGATTCTTTCGCCGGGAAATTGTCAGGAATCGCCTCTTAATCGGCGTCACTGGGAGAAACCATCGAAGAATCAAAGATGGTGAAGAAGCTGCTAAAATCCGCACCAAGAAAGTTTCTTCATATCATGGCGTCACTTGAGCAGGTTCTTGATTTGAAGATAGTCGGGTTTGAGGACATCGTCGGGCGGTTGAAAGCGTATGAAGAGAGGGTGAAGGAAGCAGATGATGGAGGAGAAGGATCAAAAGCCTTGTTCGTCGATGGTGGATCTTCGAATCGCAACTGGAGATCAAAGGGGAAATCGATGGAAGCTCACGGGTCTGGAAACAGAACACATGGGTTTAATAACTCAAGTGGATCCGGATCAAGTGGAGCTGGCCCAAGCAAAATTAAATCAAAACAGGCCCAAGGAAAGCCAAATAATGGTCGGTCCAATACTAACCAATCCAACAGTATGCCCAATCCCAATTCTGATCCGAATAGTAAACCGAAAAAGGACCGATCCAAAATTATATGTTACCGATGCGATAAGACGGGTCACTTCGCGTCTCAATGTCCGGACCGAATTAAAAAATTACAAGAAAGTAATTTTACCGAATATGACGACACCGACGAGATCATATTTTTACACGAGACCGTGTTTTTGAACAAAGAGAAGTTGATACCGTCTCGATACGACTCACAAGACAACGATGTGTGGTATTTGGATAATGGGGCGAGCAATCACATGACGGGGAACCAGTCATTTTTCTCTGAGCTTGACGAAGGCACAACCGGGAGGGTTAAATTTGGAGATAATTTGTGTGTAAAAATCAAGGGAAAAGGTGTTATACTTTTCCAAGGCAAGAAAGGTCAACAAAGGCTGATGACGGAGATTTACTACATACCGGATCTCAAGAACAACATTATAAGTCTCGGACAAGCAACTGAAGCCGAGTGTGATATTCGAATGAAAGGCAACTACTTAACCATGCACGATGACGATAATTGCTTATTAATGAAAGTACAAATATCACCAAATTGCCTTTATAAAATAAAATTACAAATTGGTGTCCCTATTTGCCTTCATTCGAGACTAAGTGAAGATGCGTCGCGATGACATGTAAGACTTGGGCACATCAATTTCGAGTCAATGAAAACGACATCCAAGAAGGGTTTAGTCAAAGGGTTACCTCAATTTGATCATGAGAATTAATTGTGTGAATCGTGCTTGGTGGGCAAGCAAACAAGAAAGTCATTCCCGACTATGACGACATACAAAGCGAAACAACCATTAGAACTTGTTCACGATGATTTATGCGATCCAATCACGCCGGCAACCAAGGGTCAAAATAGGTATATTTTTACACTAATTGATGATTTTTCACGATTTATGTGGATTTATCTCATAAAAGAAAAGAGTGAGGCATTTACACACTTCAAAAAATTCAAAGTTTTGGTGGAGAATGAAATTGGCAAGCCTTTGAAAGTGTTTAGAAGCGATCGAGGAGGTGAGTTTACTTCTCTCGAGTTTAATTCTTTTGGTGAACAAAACGGAGTCAAACGCCATCTTACCGCCCCATACTCTCCACAACAAAATGGAATTGTGGAACGAAGAAACCGAACACTTATGGACATGACGCGAAGTATAATGAAGGCAATGCATGTTCCAAACTACTTATGGGGAGAAGCAGTAAATCACCCTACAAATCTAATCAATCGCGTTTACACAAGAGTCCTTTGTGATACAACTTCGTACGAAAAGTTGTATAAAAGAAAACCAAATTTAGAAAATGTTCGTATATTTGGGTGTCTAGCACATGCAAAAATTGAACCGGTTAATCTAAATAAGTTGGATGCAAGATCAAGACCACTAGTGCATGTTGGTTCCAAATCGGGTACGAAAGCTTATCGGTTGTTTAACCCGGTAACACAAAAAATAATCGTGAGTCGAGATGTTATTTTTGATGAAACCAAAGGGTGGGATTGGATTAAAGAAGCAGGAACCAACAATGAAGAATCAGGCTCATTCATAATACCATGGGACTATCCGATAGATGATGTGAACAACAACAAAGGAAACGATGTAGACAATGATCCAATTGAACCAATTGAATTGGATCATGAGATTAGAGAAGAATCGGAAGTACAAGATAATGAACAACCAAGTCCGGTAATAATAATGTTCAATAAGGAGCTACAAATCAAAGACCATCAAGAACAAGAGTACCTCCAAGATGATTTCAAGATTATGATCTTGATCTTGATAATCTAGAAGAACTCCTTCTAACAACCAATGACAAACCTATGGGGGTGAAGCCAATTGGACTCAAGTGGGTGTTCAAATTGAATAAAAATGCAGATGGCACCATTAATAAATACAAGGTAAGGTTAGTTGTTAAAGGTTACATGCAAAAACCCGGTATTGATTTTCAAGAAGTATTTTCCCCAGTAGCTCGAATTGAAACCATTCGGTTTCTTATAGCCTTAGCAGCTACTCATGGGTGGGAGCTTCACCACATGTGTGACAACCCGAAATTTTCATTCGTATAAACTCCACAATCAAGCACATTAAAAAAATAGCCAAATTAATCCCAAAACATTTTTGGCTGGATTTAAGCTCGTTCGAGTATTTTATTTAGATTTTTCGTCGAACGAACAATTAAATGGAAGTGTCCGTTAGGTGTTTTGTATAACGATAAATAAATTAACACCTTGACTACGTGTTTACGGCCAAACAAGGGAGTTTGGACCGCAAACCCCAAAGGCTATATATATGGCACTTGGCCATTTTCCTTCATTTCTTCCATTTCAAGCTAGAGAAAACCCGATTTCTCTCCCAAGGATCTTCAAGCTTTCATCCCAACCTTCGCATATCGTAAGTGCTTCTATCCTAGAGTATATTAAGGTGTGTTATACTTCCATGTATCAAGGAATCACCCATGAAACACCAAGAACAAGGTGTTTACGGTCCAAGATGTTCTTGGACCGTAAACCCTAAAAAGGGTGCCAAAGTGTGCCCTAGTTCATTCTAAGCCTTGACAACTAGCATAAATCCTTTCCTTGATAAGTTTAGCACTTGAAAACACCAAAAATCCCTCAAGAACATGAGTTTACGTATTGGGGACCTCCCAAAACCGTAAACACCTCCAAAGGGTGTTTAAGTGCCATTAACACCTTCCTATGCTCGTCGTATAAGTGACTAGAACCTTGCATGCATAACCTAGAAACATCAAACCACGAAAGAAATGGATAAACATGTGTTTACGATCGTAAACCCATGTTTTTATGACCGTAAACTCCCAAGGGAATGGTCCAAGGACCGTAAACTCCAAAAGTGTCCATTTTGAGCCTCAATCACTTCCATAGCCCTTGATTCGAGTCTAGCATAATTCCTTGAGTAGTTTAAGACCTTTGAGCACCCAATGACACCATTTCCATGAGTTTACGGCCGTAAACTCATGGGGGAAATGGTCTTAAAACCGTAAACACTCCTAAGGGCCACCATTTGAGGAGTAAACTCCATGTGAGGCCATACTCCCTTTATATGCAACCCTCGGTACTCCTAGCACTTGTGGTAAGGTGTTTTCATGTATTAGGATGTCTTTACTTGCATAATTAGTTATTAAATGACTAATTGGATACTTAAATGTATCATTACATGTTAAATAGGATTCGTGTGTGTGTTCAAGTCCTCACTT